TAGTGAGTCAATGTAAAAGTAATAACCAACATAACTAACTATTCGTCAATCAAATCAACCAAAGCTTGAATGGACCCGAGTTTCTTAAAAGTATCGTGACTGATGTGAGGCTAACATGTAAATACAAAAGAAATCCCACTTTTTCTCGATGGAATCTGTGGCATTTCTTTAGCATTTCCATGACGTTATCGTTGCATTCACGATACTCTTAAAAAGGGTCCATTTTTAATCGATCAAATATTTAACACTAGTCAACTAGTCAGCGGTTGAAGCCAAAGTAATCGATTAATCAAACAAGGAAGAAGAATCCTAGTCAACAACAATGCACTGCTCGGGCAGGAAACAATGTAATGCTATGCAATGCGCTTTTYTTTCTGCCAGGAAAAATGACGGTTTGTTGGTGAACGTTGTGTTGACAATTCATGATTCGATTCGCTGTTGTCCTAGTCAGAACCATTAATTGTTCAAAAACAAAAAAACAAAAAACAAAAMAAACAAAAAACAACAGCCAGTTCACTACTATTACACAACGTCATATACTTATAAAAAGTAGAACTTGTCAGAACTTACGGGTCATGGGCTATAGACTGTGTACCTGGAAGCAAAAGAAAAAATATTACAGTTACGGCATGAAAATAGGTTATTTTCAATTACACATGTGTTGCATTCCCATTAGTTACCCCTTATAAACGAGCAGTCGTGTTAAAACGAACCACAGGATTAAAAAGTGCACCTAGATACTGGTAAAAAAAAGCGAATTAGCTTATAATGTTGACTGTTGCTGGATCTAAATCAAATGTTCCTTAAAATAGCAATTTTTACAACCATGGTCCCACGTTTTGACCGCTTGAGCATGCGCTTATAAAAGAGCAGTAGCTCTTGAAGCATGTATCCAACCCTATTTTGATACTATTGTTTTGGGACACTCATGCAATGCAAGCGAATTCGCAAAAGGTCACCGCACCCGTTGTTCAAGGTTTACGTGGAAACTATTATTATTATTTGGCTTCAACTCCTGTAACTTGTATCTATATTTATCACTCACTTACCCTTGTCGATGTCACGYTTTGACTTTTTCAGTTTTCTTGAAAAGCGAATAAAAGCCAGCATTAACGCAACCGTAACTAGAGAGCAAACGACCACTATGATTATGAGTAGCCAATCAGGACCAGAATGAAGAATGGATTCCTCTGAAATATCAAAGAAGCACAATCATATGTAATCATGTACTTATTAATCATGTATCCAATACTAAAGTAAAATAATTAATTTGCGATTAAAGAAAACCAAGTTAAGAGCGACTGTCTGTAAAAATCAAACATACGGCGGAAAGGCTCAAATTTTCGAATTTGCTCTACTTTTGGATTTTAGTAGTGTATGATGAAGTACGAAACGCTCTGTGGTTAGTTTTGAAAAATATGTTTTTGTTTTCGAGAAAAAGGGAAAAATCGGTTTGAGCTCCATGGACGATTTTCGCTGCCAGAAGATGGCTGAAAATTGCTTACTTTCGCTTGGTCTGTGTATCAAAACTATTGATCCAAATAGCCTTCTAATACTTTCTGCCAAAAGTACAACTCTTATTTGCTCCATTAAGAGTAGTTTCATAAAAATCGAACACCTCTGAATTATCCCTGGCTTTATACTGTTCTGTATATTTCTTATATTGAAATCTTACTAGTTACTGGTGGATGGTATTTTCGGAAATCGGTTGCAAAAAACAAGCCAACGCCACGGTTGCCAATTCTGATTTCTTGATAATTCCGATGAAATGGAGCAACGGAAAAGACCTTTTCGTGTTGAAGGTTAGTATATTAATGTTTTCTTTTATTTGAATAGACTAGATTTGAAAAACAATGATGTTTCAAGGGAATTTATTTCGAGAAGTCTTTAGTCACGCAATCGTCAAACAATGATTTCTGCATATTTAATGAGTCAAAATAAAAGCTCTCGCAAAAAGCGCACAATTATTTCCCCAAAATGAAAAATACATGACTGTAATCTCATAGGATTTGGAAGGATGGCACATAGGGAAACTCGCAGTTTTCGAGATGCACTGACAAGCATTGTAACTCAGTGCCCTTTGCTTTTTCGTACTTCATCATACACTATTAAATTCCAAAAGTAGAGCGAATTCGAAAATTTGAGCATTTCCACATATTTCTGATTTTGTTTGATTTTTACAGACAGTCGCTCTTAAGATATTCTGTTCTGCGTTGTCGATACCCCTTGTTTATGATCCCCTCAATAAGTGTAGCTAGTTTCTCATCTTTGTGTGATCCCCCCTTCTCACATAGATACAAGACAATATTATATAGCTTAATATGTAAAATAATGTTAGCTTATCATTATTATTGTTATATATTTCTATAGCTTCAGTTGTCAACATATGATTTACTTAAATCCACCGAACCAAACCACGCTTGTCTAACCCTTTTTGAATATATTGGCTTTCTTCACACCATTTAGCAACAAGCGCTTGTTTCTTGGTTTCGATTCTTGGGTAGGGTCTCTAGCTACTCGGTTGCAATAGACCCTTTGCATGTGACTTCAAAGGATCTCAATATGGTGGACAAAACAAAAGAATTTTAATCACCTGGGAATTGGGAGCCTATTGGCTTGTGTGATGCGAGAGGCCTATTTTATAAGTATTCCTTTGTTTTCAAAAATCATTTCCACTCGACCACATGTAACAAAAGGCAACTACTCTGACCAGCTAAATAATAATATAATAATATAATCTTTCTATAAGATACAATAATTAAGTTCCAGAAAGCTATTAGATTAATTCATACTGAAATGGTCGACTATGCTGATACTTGTGCTAAGATTTTCTTTTGTGAAGTGAGCAACATCATACAATC